AATAGTATACCTTATGAAAGAGTTGGTTGTATACTCCCCAATCATAACACTAGTACTCAAGAATTATAAAAACTAGGACCATCGCATCTGGTCTTCAAGCAAAAATTGTATTATGGGGGGAGTCCGGAGCGTCTGTTTGTCCGCCCGCTCTAAATTTGAGTCGATCCTTTTCGTTACACTTGTGCTCCGGACTTAACAATGGTTTCCGAAACCGTTTGAATATCACATAATTTCACAAGTTTTCATGATCATCATGTCCTATTGTCAACCATTAACCTGCTTCTGATCTGGATTTTGTTTTATAAATAGAACGAGTTCCCACATGATCACATGATAGAAATATTTTCATTGTTCTTATCTCAAGACTTATAAAAAAATTAATTTTTTTTTTTTTTAAAAAAACAAAGATGTATGTCTTGCATAACGATTTACTTAAAAGTAAAATCATAGTTTAATTTATTGTGGAATATTCTCACACATTGTAATGAAAAAAAAAATCTTGTTGCTTAATCGGTTTCATCTAAAAAGATTGAACGTAAACGGGGATTTTTTTACGTCGCAATTCACAATTAAAAATTCTTATATAATGATATCCATCAAAATTTACACTATTCTACTAAATTTTTCGAAAAAAAAAAAAAAAAAAACTACTTTACAAAATGCCACGTAAGCAAAGCACACCCAACAAACCTCGTAAGTAAAGCACACCTAACAAACCTCGTAAGCAAAACACACCTAACAAACCTCGTAAGAAGCAAACGCCTAACACAACACCGAAACCAGCTGTTGAAGAATTGTTGTCTCGTCAAGCAGAGCCAAAAAGAAAAAAGAAAAAACAGTTGAAGAAATATATCAAAAGAAATCTCCAGTTGAACACGTCTTGCTGAGACCCGACTCTTATGTTGGTTCCCTTGAAGCTTTAAAAGAAAAGAAATGGGTTTTTTATTCTGAAATGCAAAGGCTTGTTTACAGGTAATTTTTTTGAAGTTTATAATGGGTTCAACACGTCTTACATAATATCTCAGTACAGTATTTAATATCTCATACTGTATATCTTCTCAGAGAAATTACCTACGTACCTGGACTATATAAAATAGTGGATGAAATCTTAGTAAACGCTGACAACAAGGTAAGTTTATTATAAACGTTTATTAGTCAGTTTAATCGTGTTGATTATTTAAATTTTTTTTGTTAATGTCAGGTTCGAGACGATAAAATGAACCTTATTAAAGTTGATATTGACGAAGAAGGAGGTCAAATTTCCATTTTTAATAACGGAAAAGGAATCCCTATTGAAATGCACAATGTCGGAAAAGTCTATGTACCTCAGCTCATCTTTTCGCAGCTTTTTACATCTCCTAATTATGATGATAAGGAAAAGAAAGTTTCCGGTGGTCGTAATGGTTTCGGTGCTAAATTAGCAAACATATACAGTACCGAGTTCATTTTGGAAACAGTTTCAATGGGCAAAAAAATATCGCCAAACTTTCGGAACAATATGACCGTAATCGAACAACCTATTATCACTACTTGTTCCAAAAATACTGGTGATTACACGTGTGTCATCTTTAGACCCGATTTTCAAAATTAAGATGACTCGGTTTGATTATGATATAATTTCTATTTTATAAAAGCGTGTATACGATTTGGCGGGGTGTGTTAAGGAAGTTCAAGTGTTCTTGAATAATGAACGATTAAACGTCAATAATTTTAAAGATTACATGTGAGTGATCGCGAAGACTTACAACCTTCATTAGTGTTTGATAAATGTGGTGACCGATGAGAAGTTGGGGCCCTTCCTTCCACTGAGTCTCAATTCCAACATGTAAGTTTTTTTCTCTTGATCTTGCATTAAATGTTTATGCGAAAATTCGTATAATTCTAACATTATTCTTCATTCAAAAATAATAGATCAGTTTCGTAAACAAGATATGTACTACGAAAGGAGGTACCCACGTTAATTACATTGCAGATAAACTTGCTGAAAGAATCATGATAGCGGTCAAAAATAAGAATAAGAACGAAAAGTAAAAAAGAATCACATCAAAAATCATATGTGGATATTCATAAACTGTTCGATTGAAAACCCAGACGAAAGAAAATTTTACATTAAAAGTCGCATCATTTGGATCTACATGTGATCCAAGTGACGCCTTCTTTAATAAACGTAAGTAATTGTACTATTCATAGCATATCAACTTTGTTTTATACTTTAAAAAATATATACACGACCCTTTGATTTTTCTCTATAATAGTTCTCAAATGTGGTATCATCGACCACATTCTGGACGAAGGTTAATTATAAATTAAATAATGAATTAAAGAAGACAGACGGAAAAAAGAGCAAGAAGTAAGTAAATTGAGTGTTTGGAGATTTAAAAAAAAATTTTTTTGTTAATGATTCCGATATATTTTTCAATAGAATCACTGGTATTTTAAAATTGGAAGATGCAACGAACGCTGGCGGTAGAAACGCTAAGGACTGTACTTTAATCCTTACCGAAGGTGACTCTGCAAAAACTTTGGCAGTTGCCGGGCTTTCCGAAGTTGGACGTGAAAATTATGGAATTTTCCCACTCCGAGGAAAACTTTTAAACGTTCGTGAAGGTACACACTCCCAGATCATGAATAACTCGGAGATTCAACATATAAAGCAAATCCTTGGACTGAAGCAAGGAAAGGAATATACATCAACAAGCGAATTATGATATGGGCATCTGATGATCATGACGGATCAAGATCACGATGGAAGCCATATAAAAAGATTGATAATCAATTTCTTCGATCATTTCTTTCCCTCCTTGTTAAAAGTTCCGGGTTTCTTATGGGAATTCATCACACCGATCGTAAAGGTATGAAACCATTAAATCATGCTAATAAATAAAATAACGTGAGATTCAATTATAATGCATCAAATTTATTAGTGTACGAAGGTCGATAAAGAGGTGTCATTCTTTACCATGTCTGAATATGAAAATTGGAAGAAAATGACCCCTGATGCTAAAAATTGGAAGGTCAAACATTACAAGGTAATTTCTTTATAAATAATTTTTACAACAATTGACTTAACTAACTAATACTGTTGTAATGTTATTCGGTTTCTAGGGTCTTGGCACTTCTAATACCCAGGAAGCTAAAGATTATT